TTAAGTACTTATTCATTTGAAAGGCAGATGGAAATTGCTTTTCAAAACAGGAATATCTTTAAATAAAAGCAACAATAAACAATTATATTGTCTGGGCAAGACTAGGATAAATAGAGACTAAAATATTTCCTTGTCAAATAATCTAACAGTATGAAAAAAGTTAATATTTTGCAGTATCAATATATTTTAATGATTATTTCCCTTGTTAATGATTAAAAACCCCCAACCAATAGTGGCGTTTTCCCTCCCTTGCCGGAGCTCCGGAGTTTCCAGAATGAAGTCTCTCCAACCCAAAGACTTGAATTACAATAGTAGTAGTAGTAGTAGTAGTAGTAGTAGTATCATTATTATCATTATTATCATTATTATTATTATTATCGTTATTATTATTATGCTTCTTCTTCATCGTTTTCAGGCGTCAGGTCTGGAGCAGACATTGAAGATACGGTACAGCATTCCCTCCTGTTCTACCGATCAGCTCAGTTTTGTCTCATTGTCTTATTTGTAACAAAGTTGTTCAGGCCATCTGTGTATGTTGCTCTTTGTCGTCCACTACACTTTTGTTCAACTCCATCTTTTCATTCAACATCAGTTTCTCAAGTCCATTTGAACTACTTACGTGGCCAAAGAACCTCAATTGTTTTAGTTTTTGTCCTGATGGTTCTGTTTATAGTTGTTGTGGGGTTTTTTTCATTAGTTGGTATTTGGAGCTCTTCTCTATTTCTTATCCTCTGTGCTCATGAAGTTCTGAGTGTTCTCCTGTGTGTCTGCCTACACATTATAGATCATTTTAGAATTTTAACTATTCCCATCTGGCCTGTCCGGGGTAACACAGATTGAGATAGATAGATAGATAGATAGATAGATAGATAGATAGATAGATAGATAGATAGATAGATAGATAGATAGATAGATAGTTTCTGACGTGCACAGAAGTCTTACTCAGTAAACTCACAGTAAAAATCAAGAGAGCATACAAACATGCACACGGCAATCATGCATTCACACAACCTCATGCTCGTGCACTTACACACACACACACACACACACACACACACACACACACACACACACACACACACACACACACAT